AAAACCCCCAGCAGTGCTGACTCTAAGCAGGTTTTGTCATAATCATCCATGTTACTCAGGGCCTCCTGTAATGACAAACACCACTGTCACTGGGAGGTGAAACGTTGCCACCAGGAAACAGAGAAGTTCTCCACACTTCTGTGGTAAGTCAGTTTGCTCTGCATTGAAACCCTCTGCAAATTGCTGTGCTCTTGTATGTGACCTGCAAAGTTAAAAAAAAAACCAAAGCCCCACAACAGAATCAACAGAAAGAAATAAGAAATAGTGAATGATATAATGAGACAACAATGAAAGTGGACTTTGAAGAAGCTACAATATCATAAACACAGTTTTTAGGGAGGAGAAAAAACACCTTTGTATCTTCACATATCTCAAAGAAACAATAAAGTAAACAATTGAAATCATGTGTAATGTGAAACATTTAATTTAGATAATCCTTCCAGGTATCAGAGCAACTTTAACTTTACTAAGAGATTCAGAAAGCAGGGCACAAGGAGCTTGTCTCAGAAAAACTTTTTGGCAGAGAATTGTAGAATCCAGTCCTCATATCCACATTCTGTTTTTACAACCATAAACCAGCTTTTCTCCTTAAATTGCAAATCTCTCACTCAATACAGTCTCATAAGAAGGGTGCAGCTCTGAAACTAACATGCCAGAGGAGCTTGGCTGGATTCTTGGCTTTCAGAAATTCCTCAAACTTAGGGAGGGGAAAATAAATTAAAGATAAAACACTGTCATCCATCTGCTAAAATGCAAACACGACAGGGAATATCCTTTAAAATCAGTATGTGTCACAACTGACAAACCTAAGACAATGTGCCCTGTGACACTGATATATCATATTTGCTTGATATTATATATGATAACCAGATACTATTTTTACTGGCTTTGGAGACTTCCAATACCTTATTGCATTCAGATGAAATTTCCCTCTTTGACCTTCTCCCTTCCATTTTCTCCCCACTTCCCAGCTCTAAAATCACTTCATTCTCATCCTGCTTCAATTTCAACTGGTAGCTACTCTTAAGACCTTTTCTCCATCACTTGACTCAACACCTTTCTCACAGGTCCTGCTCACTGCATCCTTCATCAAGAGCAACTCAACAGTGATAAAAAAAACAAGTGAATGTCATGGAGCCACTTTAAAAGCTTCATTAAGCAGCTCTTTCCTCCACCCTCACTTTTAATGTAATTAAACACACTCCAGAGGTCACACGATTGATAAAGTAGTAAAATGCTTCAAATGCAGCGATTTCATAGAATCATAGAATCCCAGGGGTTGGAAAGGACCTCGAAAGATCATCTAGTCCACCCCCCCTGCCAGAGCAGGGTCACCTAGAGCACATCACACAGGAACGTGTCCAGGTGGGTTTGA